CTTTTAAGGTTCTTGTAAATTTTTCTCCAGAAGAAATATCTCGAAAACCTGAAAAAATCTGAAAAAAATAATGAAAAAAAACAAAAGCAAAAATTCAAATTAGCGCGCTTCTTTGTAGCAAGGGGACTTCAAAACTCGCACTCGGCCGCTAGGCCACCAAATCCCACTTCGCTCTTTGCGGTTTTTTCGCATTTTAGAGATTTTTTTGAGTTTTTTTCACTATTTTTATTCACCGCACATCACTTTTAAAATTTTCTAAAAAGTCCATTCTGTGCTCACCTGCAGCACCTGCTGGTCGGTTCGCCAACTGCCCATCGACTCTTCTGGCCTGAGCCGTTGCTTTTGCATTCTTCTTTTTGTTGTTTGCGCGACGAGTCATGTTGTTGTTCAAAGGTCGCCTGAAGACAAGAATAAACACAAGTAAACAAAAAAATTTATGGCATGAACGGAGAAAAAAGTCAGACAAAAGCTTGAAAGAAACTGATAAGGAAGGCTCTCAAAGTTTTTTTTCGTCCTAGAGAAACTAAAAATCGGGAAATTTTCCAAAAAATTTTTGGCAAACAACACATTGACGGTCATAAAAAAAGAGAGAAAGGAGAAGGAAAAATGAGAAAAAATGAGACATAGCCGAAAAACGAGCGAAAGAGTGTGGGAGAAGAAGAGACGCAGACAGAACGACAAGTTTCAAAATGTTGTGAAACCATGGAGAGATTAAGAGGAGAGAGAAGAGAAACGTTTGTGTGATTTTGTAAATAAACAAATTGAATTTTTGACCTGTTGAGAGGTTTTCGAATTTCGGAATGAGTCAGATTTGCAGAGATGATGAGTCAGATTCGCCGAGATAAAATGATGAACGAAATGGGTAATTGCCAAGCTACGGCAAATACAGAAAAATTTTGTATCAACATTCAGGAAGTTTTTATGAATAGGAAAAAAACGAAAAAAAGATACAACTGTTTAGTCTGTAAAAGTTCTGAAAAAAATTGTACAAAAAATGTCTGTGCTGAGGAAGAGAACGCTGGTGGCCGCAGTGGAAGGTCCCACTGCGACAACTACCGTAACCTGAAATTTTCAATGCTTTTCGTCCATGTTTTTGTTATTTGTCCCCAAACGATTCGATGAATAGTGAAAAATTGACTGAAAACTCAGTGAAATACGAGAAAATGAATCCTGATAATAAAAATATTTTAGGTTATTGTTGTTTTCGTTGTGGGACCTTTGGCCATGGCCACCGGCTTTTCTCTCAACCAGCTCTCAATCCAATCTCGGTTCTCACACAGCAATTTAGACTTGGCAACTAGAAGAAGCCTTTCAAGATATAGAATTAGCTCCGCTGAAATTTTCGTATTGTACCCACAACCACACCTCGTCAAAAAATCAAACACCAACCTCTTCAAATAGGCAAAAAGGGTTTGGAGAGAAGAGAAAATGTCGCCGTGAATGGGTGAATAAACCTCATAAAGAGTCGATAGAAATCAGCGGGAGAGCTGATTTCTATCAATTTTGTCGCTATTCCTCTATGACAGAAAATATTTCGTGTAATTCTTCTCTTCGTTTGAAGGACACTTACACTCGAAACTTGGGGTCGAAAAATCAGAAACCAGTGGAAAAAGAGCGAAAGAAAAGTGTCTCGTTTTTCCCTAACACATGCGGAGGAAAACAAAACAAATGGCATTGCCATGGACGACGAAAACGGGCGGTGCGTGAATTTGGAATTCGTCACCGTTGGTATTTTTTGTGTATGTCTTTTTTGTAAATTCCCCAAAAAGCACCACCTAATGTGAAAAAGAAGAGTGCAAATATTAAAATAGATAACAGGAATAGTTTGGAAAAATGCAAAAGGTGACATCAGTCAAACTACATGAAATGTTTAACATGATAAGAGAAGAAACAATTTTAGAGGGGTGATAAGTATCCTCCTGGTGCATGCCTTTTATATGGAAAATGGTGGGTGTTGACGATCGGTACGACGATGATTATGATGACGATTACGATGATAACGGAGCAAAAAATGGCATGATGCTGAAGAAGAAGAAGAAGATGATGATGATGATGATGATGATGCTTGGTGTTAAAACTGATAACGATGTTGATGACATTTTCAAGTTACAGCACCGGTTTTGGCTCTCAATTTTTTACAATCTATACTTTCTCGATGATGCGAATTTAACTTTTCACAAAATTCGCCAACTTTGGAATTCCATATCTCAGCTATGCTTCAATGAAGGTTACCGGTTACCATACTATCTCTAATAGACCATGGTCCATGAGTTTTTATTTTTCGTCCTGCTTCTCAGGGTGGGCTTCTAAATACGGTAGTTTAAATTTAACATATTTTACATTGGGTGCATAACATCTGATCTTCAATTTTAGAGTGACTTTTTCAGTGAATAAATTCTCAAAATTTTTAGCCGAAAGATGCTTTACATGTTTTGCTTTAGACCACTTTAACCAAATAATCTATTTACTGTTTGAGCATTTTACATGCTTCATTTAAAAATATCTTATCAATCGAATATCAAAAATGGAAATGCAAAAAACCCAAATACTCGGCTGTCGGCTTGCAACTCCTGGACGGCTTTTGGTCCTTTGGTCCTGGACGGCTTTTGGTCGGATCTTGGTCAGATTTTGGTCAGAAGCTGCCCACTGGCAGCAGTGGGACTGACAATGGTCGCATTTTGGCCGGAATTTGAAGGCGCTGCGTGTTAAGAGGTCGAAAGCTGACCGGTAGTTTGTCGGATCTTGGTCGGCTTCCCACAATGTCTTTGCCGGAATTTGACCAAGCTCCGACCAGAAGTAACCGGCGACGCCTGAGTACATGAAAAACGAGAAAACCCAAACTTTCTATTTATATCGAATCAGATTTGCAGGTGTAAAGTTTTTTGAAACTAAATTTTGTTTTTGAGATTAAAGAATTATTTTGAGCGCTAGAGTTGTCACCAGTTCTTTCGAATCCAACTTCCGGCTTCGATTATCACAAAATTCGATTGTTTCCTTGAACCTAAATACCCATTTAAAATATACCGTAAGATAAACAGATATGATGGATCGGGTGGTGCTGTCCTTGTCAAAGAATACAAAATTATGAAATTTGTTATATAAGACCTGAATTAGAAGGCCCACCTTACTGTCAAGCGTGGGCTTACTTCTAGGCTCTTATGCAAGATGTCAGAAATCGCAAAAATTGACAAAATGTTTGTGATATGCTGATTAACAATTTATTAGTTGGCAACTTTTCTATATCGTTGACAAGGACCCAGATAAATTGGCTTGAAGTTAAAAGATAGGGAGCCCGTCTGTTAAAAATTTTACTGGTTTTATGGTAACACACTTTTCCAGCTATTAAGCTCAGAAACACATTCTACCACTTCTTTCTTTTCAACAATATACTATGCATAATATATCCATATTATGCAAAATCTGGGATTCATGACACAACAAAGAAGGCCTCAGCTTGACATCTCCATGTCTCCGATTACCTTTCAGAGCGGCAAGCGACGACCTGAAATCGGATCCACACGTCCTTCTTCTCTCCTCCGGAATCAACATCCCCCCTTCATGTATCCTTCCATCTCAGTCCATCTGGGTTCGCTTTCATGTTAGCCTGACATCTCCGAAGTCTCTGATTGTAAATATTTCTGTGTTCCTATATTCAGATTTTCTTGGTCCAAGTTTTATTTTGTTCAAACATACTTTTTATCTGCCTAACTTATTTATTGTGTTGTTTGTGTCCCAGTACAAAGAAAAAAAGAAGAAAGAACAAGTGTACAAGTCGTCCCTTCCTCTTCTTTTTCCTCCGACGACCTGTTGCTCATGTCATTATTTTTCGGGGACGGCTGTGACGGGAAACATGTGTAATCACTGACACACTCTCGGACCGATTCTCTCCGTGAGGATGATGATCACGTTACAACACTTCCTCGTATGTTTGCTTTTTTCTCTTTATGATCTTGATCGATGCTTGAAATGTATCAACATGTACCTGGTCACATTTAAAAGATGTTCAAATTTAGATGGATATTGGTGTCTTTTGTGCAAAATTCTAGTTTCCGGCAGAGATGAGCGGAACCCCTCATTCCATATTCCTTCTTCCCTCTTGCGGGTGTTTTTTTCATTCCTTCTTCCTTATTCCTTTCCTCCGGATTTTCGAAAATTTCATTCCGCTCTTCTCTGTTAAATTTTTTTATGATGTTTCCCATATTTCTTGAAAGTAGCTTAAATCTGAAAAAGTAATAACTTAACGGAAGTTCTGAAATGGTTACATAATTTTTTAAACCCATTAAGAGTATTACCTAAATATTGAATAGTAATGTTGATATTAAACTAGAAATCAAAATTGAAGACAATTAGAAACAAATATAGTTAATATAAAAAAAATGTTTCCAAGAGTTGTGCTGAGACATGTAATTATCGTAAAACCTGTAATAGAAGCCCCCCCCCCCCTGTAATAAAACCTGTAATAGAAGCACTGTCCATTTTGAGCCAATTTCTTTCGGTCCCTTACAAGATATCCGAAATGCGTAAACTAATAAACTATTTTTGATACAATGATAAACAATTAATCAGTTGACAACTATTTGATATTTTGATATTTTTGACAGAAACCTAGATTAATTGGCTCGAAGTTAGAAGATACTCAAAAACTTCTTTATTATCCGAAATTACTAATAGTAAGAAAAATAGAAATTGAACCTACTCGGCTGCCGGCTTGCAACCTCAGGACGGAAGTTTGGGGGGTTCGGCTTTTGGACGGATCTCAGTCAGATTTTGGTCAGAAGCTGCCCACTGGCAGCAGTGGGACGGACAATGGTCGAATTTTGGCCGGAATTTGAAGGCGCTGCGTGTTAAGAGGTCGGAAGCTGGCCGGTAGTTTGTCGGATCTTGGTCGACTTCCCACAATGTCTTTGCCGGAATCTGATCAAGCTCCGGCCAGAAGTAACCGGCGACGCCTGAGTAAATCTAACTTTCTTATCTTCCTTAAAAACATGAACGATTATTTCAAACGCTCTATAGGTGATAGGAAACGTATCAAGTTACTTTGTGAAGTTCAGATATTTCGCATCTTTTCTCTGTTTCTGTGATTTCACACTTTGCTTTCGAAAAACTATTAGTAACCCAGTTTTCTAATTTTTAGTGCACACAAAGTCTCCCCGGCTCTGTCACACGGGCAATTACACGGACAGCTCACAAGAAAATTTATGAGCCTCGTCTAATCAGTTTTCATCCAGCTGTCTACACCACTAGTTGAGTTCTTGTAATGAACTAAATTTGATTGAACATTTGGTTATTTTCCGATATATAACTTTTTTCTTGATTTCCTGTATCCAAAATTTTTCAGTTCTTATCTGTCTCTTTTAGTTTATGTTATAGATCATCTCA